GAAAGGATGCCAATTCGTTTTACCAGCAAATAATCCTTAGAAGTCAGGGAAGTAAATTGTTTATATTCATTTATCTCTGACGGCCATAGTAGAAGAAACCTAATAGCTTTCTTATCTCATTCTTTAATGCCCTTAAACACATCAAATTTTATTACATTCTGTTTTGTTATAAAACACTTTGATTTATTTTCTTCTTCATTTTGTACTTTAAAAAGAATACTCTCAGTGGGTCGTGGTAAAATTCCAAATGTAAAAGCAGTGCTAAAGGTTTTAAAAGCATCATAAATTGCTAGGAATGTTTAGTTCCAACTAACATCTTTTAAAAATCATTTTCAAGTGACTTTGTATTTTAACTTCACAAAATATTCAAAGTAGTCTTCAGGAGCTTTACTTCTCATTTTTAAATAGTAAAGTCATTTTCATAGAGTAGCTATAGTAATATAAGATGTTTATATGCCAATAAGATTCATAACAGGTTGCAAATGTTCTCACGGGAAGATTTTTTTTAAAAAATGGTGGGGTCAGTGAAAGCACTTTAAAATCAATGCCATGAGATCTGGTGTTTGGTACTAGTTAAGGATACATGTGCCTCTTACCAATATGAAATTGTCACACCTTCACTGGGTCTTAATCATCCCATGCTGATTGTTCTATAAGGAAAACCAACATTAAGTAGCCTCTATTGCAATATAGTAAGATTTCTATCACTGGAAATGAGCAAACAAGAACACACCCTCATCTAACTCTGTCACCAGGCTGGAGTGCAGTGGCGTGATCTTGGCTCACTGCAACCTCTGCCTCCCAGATTCCAGCGATTCTTCTGCCTCAGTCTCCCAAGTAGCTGGGATTACAGGAATGCGCGGCCACATCCAGCTAATTTTTGTAGTTTTAGTACACATGGGGTTTTACCATGCTGGCCAGGATGGTCTCGATCTCCTGACCTTGTGATCCACCTGCCTCAGCCCCCGAAGAGCTGAGACTACAGGTGTGAGCCACCGTGCCTGGCCACTCTCATCATTCTTTTGGCAATTTTTAGTGCACTGCTTCTATATGCCAGGTTCCAAGTTTGAGTAGCAAAGATAAAAACATACCATCTTCATTCAATAAGAAACTCAAAATTAGCAGTGTCGTAAGTTGAGTGGTGGAAGAGTGGTGAAAAACATACAGAGAATACAAATGAGAACAATTCTGCCTGACCCAGCCCATAGAATTATAGGAGGTATTGCAGGAGATGTCTCCTGTCCTGAGATTTGAGGCACGAGTTAGAGGTTCTTCAAGTAGAAAAGGCAAGAAAAAGCCAAAGCTTTCTAAAGAAAAGAGAAGAGCATGTGCAGACGCCTGATAGAAAACTGCTCCTTTGAAATCATTAAACATTTCATCCAGCCAGACACTGTGGCTCACGCCTGTAATCCCAGCACTTTGGGAGACCAAGGCTGTCAGGAGTAGGAGACCAGCCTGATCAACATGGTGAAACCCCATTTCTACTAAAAATACAAAAAAATTAGCTGGGCGTGGTGGTGCATTCCTGTAATTCCAGCTACTGAGGAGGCTGAGGCAGGAGAATTGCTTGAACCTGGGAGGCGGAGGTTGCAGTGAGCTGAGATCGTGCCACTGCACTCCAGTCTGGTCGACAGAGCAAGACTCTGTTTCAAAAAAAAAATTATCCTTGCATAATGGCTTATAATTAAGACACATCTGAGTTTAAATACCAGCTATACCCTTTGTCAGCTATGATACTTTGAGCAAGTTACATTGAAATGGGAAAACACCTACCAGTGAGACTGTCTGGAGTAATGAATGACAGGACAAATGTAAAGCTGCTAGGACAGTACATGTCTCAAAGCACATTCAGTAAGGGCTGGTGAACTGCTGCTGCTGATTTATGATAAAAGAGATGGGCTGGGCGCGGTGGCTCACGCCTGTAATCCCAGCACTTTGGGAGGCCAAGGCGGGTAGATCACGAGGTCAAGAGATCGAGACCATCCCGGTCAACATGGTGAAATCCCGTCTCTACTAAAAATACAAAAAATTAGCTGGGCATGGTGGCGCGTGCCTGTAATCCCAGCTACTCAGGAGGCTGA